CAGGAGGCTGAGGCAAGAGAATAGCTTGAACCCAGGAGGTGACAGTTGTAGTGAGCCGAGATCGTGCCACTGCACTCCAGCCTGGCAACAGATCGAGACTCCGTCTCAAAGAAGAAAAAAAAAATAAAAATAAAAAAGACTAGAGAAATTATTTGATTAAAATGTTTCGAAAGCTCAATCAAGTTATGGAATGCACCCGAGTAAGATGAGTGAGTCTATCCCATGGGGACAAGGATAAATTGTGAATCATGGTGGACTGCTGCATTTTGAGTGAGCTGCTTTAGGACTCACAGTTTTACCCAACCATCTCCCTGATTCTATGTGATTTCAATGTTCCTGAGGATGAATCACCAACATCTCAGCCTGGAGATCTGCTTGTTCTTCTGTATTCCAACAGCTTTCCCCTCAATTCCACTTTAGGAACCTACCAACATGGTGACCATGTCACAAAGCACAGTTCACAGCATTTTCCATTGCTCAAACCAAACTGATACCCACTTCTCTACCATCAACCTCCTATCCATCTCCCTGTTTCATTCTCCCTACTCCTGTGACATTGATGTTGGACCTAACCAAGTCTTCTGGTCACTGTATGCTTCCCTCTTCTAACTTGACTCCTTAAAAGGGTCCCTTCCTTTCCTATTCAGTGTGGATATCCAGCTACTTATCTTACTGCATCCTTAAACCCCTTGTTCCTTGGCTGTTCCAGTGAAAACCTCCAAGACTGGATCAATCTGATCTATCAATTTTTGGTACCATAAAAAGTTATGGGGTGGGCATGGTGGCTCAGCCCTTGGAAGCCTGAGGCCAACAGATTACTTGAGCCTAGGAATTTGAGACCTGGCAACATAGTGAGACCCCATCTCTATTTAAAATATTTTTTAAAATTTTTTAAAATTATGGTTCACTGCTTCAGCCAGGTCCCCAGTGCTACTGAGAAATCTTCCTTTTCTCTTCTGAAGAGAGGCCTTTCTTAATTTTCACTATGCTCCACACCTTTTCATATATTCCTGCCTCCTTTCACATAAAGAGGTCTCAGCTGATTTTGAAAGGGTGGTCCACTTAAGTGGATTTCGCAGTCTTAGGTCTAGAGGTTGTAACTATTTAGGGGACACCCAGAGTTAGGAATGAAATCAGAAAAGACGACAGAGAAGTGAACAAGGAAGTCGTAGAAGCAGCAGGAAAAAAAAGAGTTACAAAAAGACCACAGAGGAGATTTCTGGAATAAAGAAGTGGTAACTATATCAAATGTAACCTGAAAAAGTTTGCTGACTATCAAAAGACTACTGGATTTGTTCAGGAAATCATTTATCACAACAGTTTCTGTGGAATGGTAAGAAATAAGGATGCCAGAGAATAACTGTGGATACAAGAGGACAATAAAAATACAAAGGCAAGGAGTCCAGGCCACAGATCCAAAACATTACATAAGAAAAAGAAACCGTTCAGGAATCAGAATAGATGGCAGGGTCCAATAAGGACTTACTAATTTTTTCCAAGACAGGAGATTTGATGACATAATGGAGAAAGAGCCACTACAGGAATTTTAGAGGAATGATAAAAATCAGAGTCAAGCTGGCTGAACACTATACGAAAGAGGATAATGTCGTAGACAAGTCACCACAAAATTTTATCTTCCTGTTTTAGTTAAATCTTTGCCTCTGAAGAGATGGTACCTAACTGTGTGACTAAGCCCTGCGGGGACTCGGCGCTTGGACTCTCAACACTCACATGCAAGCTAGTCTTGCTAAATATTGAGGAGTGGTCTTCTTAGAGGCTAGCATTCATGACGGTAGGTCCACTTTAGTCATCTTCTAAGTTAGGCTTTCTGCAGTAGCCAGGAAGCTTTCTTTGACCCCCTCTAAATTAGTGCCTCTCACCATATACTTCCATTACATCTTTAATTCTCCCCCTTCACTGAATTCTCAAACATATTTTTCATTAACCTAACATTAAGTGACCATTCAGAGTCCATTAAAATAGCTCCAGTGGTAGAGAAAACATCTCTATGAGAATGCCCAGTTCACTCTGGATGGCTCTAGTCATTAGAAAATTCTTATTTGTGATGCACACGTAGCTTTTACCCATTAGTCCCTACATAACAATTAGTCATTGTAACTACAGTGCAGTTTTTCCAACATTTTAGGAAGGCCACCATATCCTCTCTCAAGGCTTCTTTTCCCTGCTCCTTTAATTCTCTTCATGTGATACTCATGGCACTTGAAATGATGTCTACACACCTGTTTTCTTGTCATTCATACTTAAATGGTTTCACCAGAAGCAACAGAATTATAAAAACAATACTAAAAAGCATAAAATTAAGACAAGTTACACAGTTACATGGGAATAAAAATAGAAGAGTATGTGCAAAGTAAAGATCTATTCATATTTCTTTTCCATCTGATTATGGTTGACTCTTAATTCTCTTTTTATTCTAAATTTAAAATATCCTTACCTTTATCCAGTGCTCCACCCTGTCAGGACCAACAGCAGGCTGTAGATAACACATACAGGATATTAATATGCAGCAATATCTTTGCCAGCTTCGCCATTTAAATCTGTCTTTCTGACTAAAGCATAAAGTGACCTTTATTATTTCCCCAAAGCATTTCATTAGAAATGATTAGCAATAAATGACACACAATAGCATTATGAGGAGAAAACATGAAGCCTTCCTGGGACACTGTCTGACTGTTTTTATTTCTCACATAGGCCCACCATGAGACTGTGATTTAATTGGTCTGGGATAGAACCCTGGCATTGGTATTTTTTTTATAGCTCCTTAGGGTTAAGAGTCAATATAAAGAAACGCTAAATATAAAGCTACTCATTAAAAGAAAAGCATTTATTAGCCAGATTATCCAAGGCATCTTCAGCTTGAAGAAGTGTTTGTTCCTCTCCTTTGTCCTTTCATAAGTAGCCTGTAGCAAGAGGTTTTCTCATCTTACCTAGATCAGGGATACTGTTTGGTCCAATAAAAACCAGGGAGTGGGGTGAGGGTTAATCAATCTGACTTCTACCGTTTTACAAAGCAGAAAATATAAATTTCCACCCAGATCAGTCAGGTATTAATCTGAAATTAGAAATAACACCATCCGGACACTTCCTTCCATCACTCTCTGTAACTCCCAGAAGCTTGCAGAATTCCCTCTGAAGGTCACTTAACAAATAGTTTTCTTCTTTGCTAAAAATTCAGATGTGTTTTTAAAATAAGGGGATATCCTGATGATATGTCATAGGAGCACTAAATCTCTTTTGGTGTTCCCAGTTCATGAATTGTTTCTTACTCAAATATGTTCTTTAAAATAATAATAATAATAATAATAAAATAAGGGGATATCTAAACTAACATACTGACACATGAAGGTGGGAAAAATATAATACTCTCTTTCACTTACCTAACACTTTACCTTCAAAGCATTTTACTGATAGCTAATTAACACAGCTGTACTGCTCAATAATTTTGTAACTGCAACAAAGAAACAGCTGATCCAATTAAAACACAATTGAACCTTAAGGAGCCCTAGGTTTTTACCTTTTTTCCTCTAGGCAGTAATAATGAGCACTAGCAGCAAAAACCCTTCCTTTTGGAGTCCTAAGAAATTGTTCTAAATTTTTATCTTTCATCAAGTCCATATCCATAACCCATTCTGGATCCTATCCATGATGCAACTGATATACTGCAATAACAGCAGCCTCAGTTTCCAAGTCTCCCTAATGCTCCAGTCTATGCCCTCTAGTATCTGGGGCAATGTATTTATCATGTGGAATATGTCCAATGCATTTAGCTGGTAAATTTAGAATAAATCGCAAGAACAATTGCCTGGGGCCCTCACAAAGGTCACAGACATCTACAGAATATTATTTAGGAAAGTGTAACTTAAGGGTGAAAACAGCTGGTGAAACTGCTCTGGAGCCGAAAGCTGACAAGCCTCTCCATTTTAGTACTTTTAAAGCATTTATTTTTGGGACTGTTAAAAAGGTAGTCTGTGGAAAGAACACATGGTGCGATTGTGACTTTGCACATATCGTATGTTTCAAGTTCAAAATGGGGTTATCACTTTTTTCTTATCTTCAGGTGCTAATACACCAAATGGTGATAGATATGGAGAGAATCTATTTTTTGAATGTTGGTTGAATTTAGAAATTTCTATGTGAATCAAATGTTAATATATTCAATATCCACTTGCACTCCTGAGTTCATTTTAGATACTCTACGTAAAAGTGGATGGGCAGGAATATATGCAGGGTATTTAACGTGAAGATCTCTCCCGTTAATAAAGATCAGTTTCCCCAAGATTTGCAAAAAAAGAGAAAAAGAAAAAAATGTGAGAGAAGTTTCCTAAAATTTAAAGTAGCAGGAACATGGAGTTTGCAAACTCCTTTCACAATGATGGACACTAGTAGACACCTTCGGTTTGAGCAAAGCGTTAGAAACAGTTCTTCCACGATGCTGCCCACCAAACCCGTGATGTGCCCAGACCCCAGAGCTCCTAGAGCACTTCACTCAGGGCAATGCTGGCTTTGGGGCGGTCAAGGCAGGAGCATCTCAGCTCAGGGTGCCCCTCGGGGAAGAGGCAGGAAGCACAGAGGGGCCACTACTGGCTTCAAGACTGCGCAGCGCCTTGGGAAGGTCCCCGCCCTCCAAAGCTCCGGACTGGGATCACCTTGGGACTCGGCTTCCTTGTGAACAGTTTCCAGCGACTCAGCCTCATCTTCTTCTTTAGGGTGGACCTTTCCTGGGGCGCCAGTAGCATTTTCCAAGCTCGAGACCGAACCTTGGCCAAAGCTGCAACCACCGCTCTTCTGCCCAGGCTGCGTCCTTGTCGCGCCGATAATTGTAGTTCCTCCGCCCGCAAGAAAAGCAGGCGTAGGACGAAGTCGAACCACGACTCCCAAAAGGCTCTGCGCAGGCCGCTAGCGTTGGCTCAGTTACCATAGCAACAGCCCCGGTCCCTCGCTTTTGTAGTCATCAAGGCTCACTTTAATATCCGCTTTGCTTTTTTCTGGCGCCCAGTGATGACGCAGTACTCCCTGATTGGCTCTGCTCTGGAGGCAGTGATTTGGGTCAGAGAATTCTGCAAGCCTAACACGTGGTAGTGAACTGTGAGGAGTTTGAGGGATCTGAAGACTAAAAGAGTTGAATGGTTTGGAGGTAAGTGCCCCTTTGCCCTGCTGGTGTGGGAGCTGCTAGAGATGAATGAGTCGCATCGCGCCCAGACGCTTCCTGGTTGAGTTGCAGTAACGGTGATTGTAATCCCGCCATGTCTCTCCTTTCCTTTACTGGGCCTCCTGGCGTATCTTGGCTTCTGTAAATTCGGATTCTCATAAATCGTGTGATCGTCACCGACACCTCTGAGATAAAAGGGCCCCTTTCGACCAGCCTCTGCTCAAGGGTAGATTCCTCAGTCGGAAGTTTTTATTCCGAACTGCTCGTGGGAGGGTAAGACCGTCTTCAATCTCCGAGCTAGGTGCCTAGGGAGGTCTGAGGCTATAGAGATGGCCCATGGAGCAAAGATGAATCCAGCCTTATTGGCTGAGCCGAGATGTTTCCAAAGACAGCCCATTCAGGGGTGCTAAATGGGTTTACAAACAGAGTAAAGATTTAGAACAGGAGTTTTGGGCTATGTGACCTTAGGCAACTTGTTTAATAACCCTGTTTTCTCATTAGCAAACTGGGGACGATAATACCTGAATCACTGGAGTGTTGTAATGATTAAAAATAAGTGTATGTAAAGCATTCTGCCAGGAAATGTAAACTAAAGTTGACTTGAAATTGGTGAAAATGAGGTTAGGGAAGCTGTGCTCTCAAACTGTTGCAGCGATTCTAGGACCAGCTCTGTAAGTGGTCTGTCTGAAAGGTGGTTGAATAAATTGTGTTCATACAAACTATGCAGTATCACGAAGTAGTTCTTTCAAAAGGGTAAGTTAGCTTTATGTCCCTTCTTCAGGAAAGAGGTCTAATGTTTGTTCTTGAGACAAAAACAAATTCCAGAGAAGTGCATATATTAATAGTATAGTATGTTTTCATTTTTGTAAAAGCACTCCCTCCCATATACAAGTATGTTTAAATGTCTGTATGAGGATGGAGAAAGATTGCAGATTCTGGGAGGATGGATTAGAGGTGAGAGGGAGAAAGGGAAAAGAGCAAGAACACTATAGCAAAATGGAAACTATGATTATAATGTGCTTATGGACCAGATGGAACTTCTAAGCTTCTAGCCTATTAGAGTACAGCATTGAAAGCTAGACTTCAGTAACTGAAGTCCTACCTCTGCCAGTTAACAGCTGGTGATTTTATCAGCATCAGTTTCCCCAGCCATAAAAATGCAGATAGTATTAGCTTCTATATTAGGCATTTGATATGAGGATTAATGGAGTGACTATGTAAAGAACAGTGCTTAATATACAGTAAACACCCATTAAATGTTAGTTGCTATTGTTATGTCTTTCTGTATGTGAAATTAATTTAACTTTTATTGTGATTACTGACATTTGGACTTCCACCATCTTCTTTGATGTTTTCTATTTTTATTTTTTTAGTCTCTTTTTCCTTCTTGCCTTTTATTAGATTAATCCATTTTTCTTTATCTTCCCAGTTCTCTCTCCACAGAGTTTGGAAATTATGCATTCTGTCACTAATTGTTTTTAACAGTTACTTCTGAGTTTTTAACACATACACACTTAACAAAGTTTAACCTCATTCAGTATCTTTTCCCCCATACCAAATGGTGTAAGGATTTCCAAATGCCTTGGAAGTCTTCAGTTATTGTTTTCTAGAAGTGTAGCATTCTTCATTTCTTTTTTCTTTCTTTTTTTTTTTTTTTTTTGTTGAGATGGAGTCTTACTCTGTTACCCAGTCTGGAGTGCAGGGGCACAATCTTGGCTCACTGCCTCCTGGGTTCAAGCAGTTCTCCTGTCTCAGCCTCCAGAGTAGCTGAGATTACAGGCACATGCCACCATGCCTGGCTGATTTTTGTATTTTTAGTAGAGGTGGGGTTTCACCATGTTGGCCAGGCTGGTCTCAAACTCCTGACCTCAGGTGGTCTGCCCACCTCGGCCTCCCAGAGTGCTGGGATTACAGGCATGAGCCACCCTGCCCGGCCAGCGTTCTTCATTTCTATGTGTCATTTCTCAGTCAGCTCAGTACACCACATTGTTTAAAAGTCCTTCAGACATTTTTCTACGCATATACTATCGTTATAGAAAGTGTACATGCTGGGGGAGAGGAGGAAGAGATGCAGATGTGTACTTATATATACTGCTTTCCTTTCACAAAAAATATGACCATCTTTTGCCTTAGGAAATTTTGGACATATCTATGACAGTATGTAGAGAATCCACCCAGGAAACATTTAAAAATCCCTTCTCTCCTGATAAATAAAGAGTGGAGGTGGTAGGTGGCACTGAAAGTGTTAGACACAGTACAGTGTTGCCGTAAGTGCAGGAAATCTTTGTTAGTCTTTGCAAAGGTACAGGTCCACTGACAGCCTGTCATTTGTCTTTACACTTTTAATGGTTTTTCCTTAAGACTTTCTCAGGAACTCCATCTGTGACACCAGAAGTATTAGAAGAGACCCACAAGTGAAAAGGGAAGGGATGAATAAAGGCAAATAAAAACTAGTTAATATTTTGGAGACTGTTGACCTATTTCTTGAACTTTCCTTGGGAAAAAGGAAATATCACTCTCAAAGCATGTTTTTAAAAATATATACACGAATGTGTGTGTGCGTACTATTTTATTACTTCATAATAACAACTTAATGAATTCGAGCCTTTAGAAAAGAAGTGCAGTTATAAAACAACATTTACTATAGTCTGAACAGTAAATGAAGAAAGAAAGACTTGGTTTTTCTAGCTCTGGACAAAATTCCATTTTATGTTTTTAAATGTTGATTTCCAGCTGAAGTATAATATATTCTCTGATGTTTTCCTCAGATTTTTAAATATTTGCATTCATCCCCACAAAACAGAATCACTGACAATAGCAGTTTATTCTAATACTTTTTCTTAAACCCAGTCATCTGCTTCTCCTTGCTTATTTTTTTTCTTCAGTAACATGTTGAGTTACTGTGACTAGGGTGGAACTTTTATGAAGCCCCAAACAACAGAAGTGAGTACGTAGCACCAAAATCTTTCACTGTAGAGAAAGCCAAGTGGATATTTCTCTCCAGCTGGCTGAGTGGGTTCTGTATTCTATGCTGAGTATTTCAAATTTCATCTTCAAAGTTAGGAGAATTAAATTTGGGATTAAAGCATTATATCACTGAAGAGTCCATCTCTGCCTCTAAGAACATGGTGGCCAATGTCCTTTGGAGTTACCAAGGACTTACAATTACAGACTTTCAATTAAAAATGATGAAGGCTGTTTCTTCATTTGAGGAAAGAATGGGAAGGTAAGATGAGAGATGAGAAAAGAGGACTTTAGGACTGAGTGGATGATTAATCACACTTGAGACTTGTTTGTTAAAAGATGGGAACTTCTAGAATGTGCTCATTCTTTCTTTACACAAGGATGAAACTAAAAAGTTTTTTGAGAGAAAGGTAAGTCTTGGACTTACCTGGGCTTCCAGGACTGGCTGCCTCTATACTCTTAGAGAATCCTTGTGTCCAACCTTGGAGAATCTGAGATTGGTTATTTGGTTATCTTCCCTTATCTGTGGGGAATATGTTCCAAGACCCCTCGTGGATGCCAGAAACTGCAGATGATTCCAAAGTCTAGGTAGGTAGGTAGGTAAGTGGGTAAGTAGGTAGGTAGGTAGGTAGATAGATAGATAGATAGATAGATAGATGATAGATAGATCCAAACCATAGATAGATAGATAGACAGACAGACAGATCCAAGCCATAGATAGATAGATAGATAGTAGATAGATAGATCGATCCAAACCATAGATAGATAGACAAACAGACAGATCCAAGCCACAGATAGATAGATAGATAGATGATAGATAGATAGATAGATAGATAGATAGATAGATAGATAGAGAGTATGATGTTTCCTATCGGTACATACCTATGATAAAGTTTAATTTATTAATTAGACACAGTAAGGGATTAACCCTGTTTCAGGAGATCCTTTGCTGAAGTCTTCACATAGGCCCAATGCTTTCTGGCGCAAAATGTTACCATCAGTTAGAACATGTTTTCCGTTTACATCTTCCACCCACACATTTCCTGCCTTTTCCATCTTAACTTATCACTTACCACAAACTGGCCATAGCTTTCACAGTTTGACGTGTGACAACAAAACTAGTATTGATTTCTTTTTCCTTCTTTCACACTTTCATAAAAGATTTTGTTCTTACCATGGTAGATCTTAGTTCCCTCAGCAAACAGTCTTTTCTCTTCCTAGTTGGAGAACTTTTACCTTTTCTCTTAAGGAATCACTTCATGGCTTCTCTTTGGCATATCCATATTGCCAGCATCACTACTCTCGTGCTATGGGCCAGTCGTAAATAAAATAAGGATAACTTGAACACAAGCACTGTAATACAGTGACAGTTGATCTGATCAGGAGACAGCTCCTAAGTAACTAAGGGGCACGTAGCGTCTACAGCATGAAGATGCTGAACGAAGGGATGATTCACGTCCTGGATGGAACAGAGCAAAATGGCGAGAGATTTCATTATGCTACTCAGAATGGTGTGCAATTTCAAACTTATGTTTATTTCTGGAACTTTCCATTTAATATGTTTGGACCTCAGATATCCATGGGTAACTGAAACTGGAAAGCAGAACTGTGGATGGAGCAATTACAAGAACCAATGGGTTTCCTTTTAGTTGCCTGTATGTATATAATTGTATCTTATTCTTCCCATTCCGAGTCTATGCTTGCACGGCATATTTGGCTTCATGTATTGTATTCTATAGGACAAGCATGCGCTGACTGGTCCACTTTGCCTTTTTTGGTTCTCGGAGTAAATAATTGTGTGTACTGATTTTATCGTTTAGTCTCTGAGGTTGAAAGGTTTGAGTGATGACTCTGTGCTGGGTATATAGAAAAGATCAGGAGGCTCAGCTTACCAGGCAGGAGCCTATATCCCAGTGGCCAGCCAGCCAGCACCAAGCAGTACAAGACTGTAAGACCCTGGAGGGAGCAGCAGCAGGTGGTCAATCTTTGATCCCCGGTGTAATTCTGTTGGCACAGGTTAAAGGACTTAAGAGTTTCTTTCTTTTTTTCTTCTTTCTCTTTCCTTCCTTTCCCTTCCTTCTTTTCCTTTCCTTCCTTTCCCTCCTTTCTTTCTTTCTGCTGTTCCATCCCGCCCCATTCCTTTCCTCTCCTCTCCTCTCCTCTCCTCTCCTCTCCTGTCCTTTCCTCCTTCCTTTCCTTTCATTTCCTCTTTTCTTGTTTTTGAGACAGGATTTCCCTCTGTTGCCGAGGCTGGAGTGCCAGTGGCGTGATCATGGCTTACTGCAATCTCTGCCTCCCTGGCTCAAGGGATCCTCCTACTTCAGCTTCCCAAGTAGCTGGGACTACAGGTGCATGCCATCACTCCTGTCTAGTTTTGTATTTTTTGTAGAGACAGTGTTTCGTTATTTTGCCCGCTCTGGTCTTGAACTCCTGGGCTCAAGTGATCTGCCCACCTTGGCCTCCCAAACTGCTGGGATCATAGGCATGAACCAACATGCCCAGCCAAAAGCTGCCTTCTTTTTATGACTTTCCACACTAGGGTAAAAAACCGAAAAGGGTGTTTCATAGATTTCACATACAATTTTGAAAAATCTTGTTCTTTAAGTGCCCATGCTATGCTGCAAGATATTCATAGAAAATTAAAATCTGAATACATCTCCTAGCACGTTAAATTTACTCTCACTTAAAAGGCATAATTGGCTGGGTGCGGTGGCTCACACCTGTAATCCCAGCACTTTGGGAGGTCAAGGCAGGATCATTTGAGCCCAGGAGTTTGAGACCAGCCTGGGCAACATCGTGAGACCCCATCTCTACAAAATTTTTTTTTAATTTATCAGGTGTGGTATTTCGGCACCTTTAGTCTCAGCTACTTAGGACGCTGAGGTGGGAGGATCACTTGAGCCTGGGATGTCAAGGCTACAGTGAGCCATGATTGCACTACTGCACTCCAGCCTGGGCAGTAGAGTGAGACCTTGTCTCAAAAAAAAAAAAAAAGACATAATAAAAAGAGTACAGGCTTCTTTGCAGGAGACCTGGGTTCTAGACAAGCCTCTGACTAAGCAGGCCTAGTCTCAGACTTGTTACAATAAAAGGCAGAAGGGGTGATGGCGGTGAGGTGGTGATGAGGAATTTCCAGGTAGGAGTCTCTGGTAGTAATGGAACTCTATAAACTACTTTCAGCATTTCTAAAGTCTAATGACAATTGTATAATACTGGGATATTAAGCACAGGTTTACTAAAGCAATGGAGTTTGTTGTTTTTACCTGGAACTGAGTTAACACAGTATGGAAAAGCAGATTATCGCATGCTCATCTGAAGCTTTGGTTGGCAGTCGTTCTTGTCATTTATTAATAAACTGGAGAAATGAAAGCATGGGTTTGATGGGGAGAGATAATAAAAGTTAGTAAATTCTAGAATTCTGCACTTCATTTTTCAAACGTACTAGTTTTACCCAAAGAAGTTTATTCATGATGAAGGTTCTTCATACCTTTAGGTGAATTTAATTTAAAAAACACAGTTCACATATGTACATTTAAACTCTCTACATACGTTACACAGCTCAGATGAGAGAGTATTTTTGGAGGAGCCAGCAAGTTCTTGTCTCTAGCCCTTTCTGAAATAGCTCCAGGCAACACAGTTTCTTCTGTTCTCAGATGTATGTGACAGTAGGAAATGCTTAAGTTACTGCAGCATTTAAGAATTCTGGTCCATTAAATTTTCATTAGTTCTTATTTATGTTTCAAGAAATCTAGTGTTCCATATTGGTTGATTTCAATATTCAGTCAGAACAACAGGTGTTGATTCATTAAGCTTTGGAGTACATTTCTCATCTTTGTGCTTCCACCTGCTTCAGTTCTCCAGAGCTACTTAGATTACAGAATGCTGTCTTAAATTTCATGTTAGACTCTGTTGATTTAAAATATAAAATATATTTTTATCAACTTGAAATCAGTATTATCTGATAAATAGGTAAGCAATATGATTCTTATATTTTCTAAAGTATATTTTTATGAGCTTAGAAGGGTAGTTTCACAATTTTTTGAAATGAACCTTCTCGTTTTAGCAGTTTAAATGTGTAACAACAGGGTTTGTAAAAAAAAAAAATAATTTTTATGCTATTTATTAAAATGTAACGTTTTTCCCTTACCAGTCTCCATTTCTGTGGGTTCTAATGACACTTATTTTTATGTTTCTACCTTTGCGATATAGAAAATTGAGCAGACTTTTATCAAACATATATTAGATTTTTATAATTTGTGTTTAGCATAAAATCTCTTATTAGACCTTATAAAATGTAGTTATTATTATGTCTAAGATTCTAATGGCAGAGATGGCTATTTTATTTAAATATAAGAATTTATGCCCTCTAAAAAAGTAATGTTTTCATTCTTGAATATATTTAACTAATGATAGGTAAGTCTTATTTATTTGGGGACATTTTAACAATGGTTGGCTTTCAGAGTATGGTTAAGAAAATGGGATCTGGCCAGTCACAGTAGCTCACGCCTATTATCTCAGCACTTTGGGAAGCCAAGGCAGGCGCATCACCTGAGGTCAGGAGTTTGAAACCAGCCTGACCAACGTGGTGAAACTCCATCTCTACTAAAATATAAAAATTAGCTGGGCATGGCAGCATACACCTGTAATCCCAACTATTTGGGAGGCTGAGGCAGGAGAATCTCTTAAACCCAGAGGTGGAGGTTGCAGTGAGGCGAGATCGTGCCACTGCACTCCAGCCTGGGTGACAGAGCTCTGTGTCAAAGAAAAAAGAAAAGAAAAGGAAGTGAGATCTAAGGTTGGAGCCTCTCTGATAGCTCATTCATCAACTAATAAAACTGGGCCTGGCCCAGTTTTCAAGAATTCCAGAAGGTATGGTACTTGCTGTAGAGATGTAATGAAGTGTTTGTAAAATGTTGGTATGTCTGGTGACATTTAGCAGATGATTTTATGTGCTTATCAAGTTCTGTAGTGCATTTTAAAACTGGAACCTGATATTTTGCTTCACTGAATACTAAATCATTTAGGAGCAGCCAACAAATAATTAATAATGTTTTTTGATTTTTATCCCTGTATATCTATAGAGGTTAGAAAGTTTATTTTTTCTTTAAACAAATATTGGCCTTTCTCAGTTATGAAAGTAATGACACATTGCTTATCGATCACGTGTATGCTCCACACCATTTCTCACTTCTGTTTGGATACCATATAAGAACAAATTGGGAATGATCCCACCTCAGAGATAATGTTTATCTTTTGACATTTATTGTTTCATATATTTTAATAAACACCAGGATGCTGTTTTCTTCACTTAACAGCATTATTAGGAAAAAATTGCTATATTGGCTTAGCATTCTCTCAAATTGGAGAAAGGAAAAAACTGGATTATCTCAGTAATCCATTGGCCTAAGCAGTGTGACTGTTCTCTATATGCATTTTCAAGGCTGAGAGAGCCTTGACTTCATGGCATTCTTTCCATGATTAGTCTCTACTTCTGTTCTTTCATTTGTTCAGTTTTCACCAGCTCAAGACAAAAATTCCATGACTAAATTGAAAATTAGTTGATGCCAACATACTGTTCTAGAACCTTAGGGAAGGTATCTTATTTTCTTTGTGTCTTTTCCCATTCCCCTGTTCCTGATATCTAATAAAATGTTTAGACTGGAAGCAGTAAACATTCATTTTTGTGAAGTTGTGTTGTTGTTGTTGTTGTTGTTTTTTCAAAATGCTTGGCCTTTAGATGTTGGGAAGCTCCTTTTATACTTAATGCTCTCTTCTCGTCAGGACCTAGAAGAATTCCTTAGGATGAAGCTGAGTCTTACCAAAGTAGTTAATGGCTGTCGCCTAGGAAAAATAAAAAACCTGGGCAAAACAAGGGACCACACCATGGACATTCCAGGCTGCCTTCTGTACACCAAGACTGGCTCTGCCCCACACCTCACCCATCACACGCTGCATAATATCCACGGGGTTCCTGCCATGGTTCAGCTTACGCTGTCGTCCCTGTAAGTGTTAGAACCGATGATTCAAGTATCAACTCTGGTAGCAGCCTAGTTACCTTAGGTACAAAAAAGAGAAATTTTTTTTTGTTTATATATATAATTTGTTGATTTTCATAATGAAATCAGAAGAGAGGTATCAAATATTATACATCATCTGGCCCGCAGCTGGAAGCCACAGGCCAGACCTATATAGTAGATCTGCTTCACTTTTCCTCCAATCCTACAGCCCCATACTGCCCTGTTGCCACTGCTCCCAAGGGTGACAGGGCAGCGAATGCTCTGTGAGAACTATACTTGGAGTTCAGGGGCTGTCATCATGCACCAGCTTCAAAGTTATTTCTGCCTTTGCACATATATTTGCGAGTACTACTTTATGGAAGCAGAACTAAAGAAGTTAGATCATTTTGTGTAATATATATATACTGACTTTATTCTTAATTGAAAAGCCTACTGTATGACCAGTTAACACAATACCCTGTAGAATTGTGTTAATAACAGCAATTTTAAAGGGGCAAGAGAAAGAAGAAAATTCAAGTATTCTGAAGGAGTTGATCTTTACCAGTTTCACGTCTCACAGAACCACTAGCAAATCGAAGGCCTTTGTTCTGGCTAATGAGCCTAGCCTAGTTAGTTAGAACTCTTGAAAAATGGTGTAATTCGAGACAGCATTTACTATGATGTAACTTATTGGGGTGAGGAGAAGAGGGCTTTCGTTGTACGGAGTATTCATGCAATGATGCATTATTATGGTATGTATTTTTCTGTTTGCTTATAGGGCAGAACATCATGAAGTCTTGACAGAATATAAGGAAGGAGTTGGAAAGTTTATAGGTAAAGATTAAGTTATTTATATGTGCCTTGTGATGTGTTAATTTGGAATTTGGAGCTGCTATTGCCTCTTTGATCTTTCATTCATATATTTATTTATTCATAATTTTAATAAGTATTTTTTGAACATCTAAGAACCAGGCATTGGCAAGTCAAGACTGAATAGGAAACAGTTGCTGCTCTCGTGGAATTCGGAGCCTGCTGGGATAAAGATAGAGAATTCTAGTAAAAATTGTGGTGACTGCTTTACAGGATTAGGGATATGTATGTATGTTATGACAGGCCAGCGGGCAGAGCATATAACCTGCAAGGTGGTCAGAATAAAGAAAGGATTTTTTTTTCGTTAAGCCTCCATAAAAACCCAGAGAAAGGATTCTTGAGAGAGCAGATGAGTGGCATTTTAACTGGGTCAAGGAAGAGTAAAAGTTACCCAGGTTAGGAATGGGAGCCCAGTGACAGTAGACAGGTGTGGAGCGAATGCTCCAGGCACTGAGTATTTGACTCAGCAGTGAGAGCTTTCATGGGGCATGTGTGAGCTCTAAAGTCATCTCATCATGCTTGAACCTCAGACATTCAGGGGAGGATAAAGCGTTTATATATGGCTGTATTCTGACATATTAATATTATCCTTAATTCCAGAAATGGGATTTTATATGCAGATGTACGTGTATTTATTTATAGGAAAAACGTAGCAGTGACAGCTAGAACACCGGTTCTTCTGTACACCACTTTCTCCTGAAGCTTTTTCCGACCTCTAGGACTCGCTTGAATGAAAATCCTGTTTTCGTTGGTTATTCAGTCCTCTGCTTCTGAGGGCAACTGCATGATACCCTCTTGGTTATCACAAGGCCCTGTATTTTAGTAGAGGAATTTATGGAATATCATTCTCCTTGACTGAGGTCAATTTTAATAACCAGCTTTAAAGTATACAAGCATATAATTAAGTGAAAATAGCTAATGTAAGCTTTCTAGAGATAATTGTAATAACAAAATTATGGAAAATAAAGTGAAAAAAACTAGAGGTTTTTAACTTCTTTATTTGTTTTTGTCTTTTTCAGTGGAATCCTATTTTTTTTTTTTAGTGAAAATGTGCCATAGCGTATGATATTTAAGCACACATGGTTTACTAAACATTTTTTTGCATTTTTAAGAAAAATGACTGTCTTTTTGACTGAAGAACCTAAGAAACTGTCATGTGAATCAATGAAACTTATTAAGAATGAGATCCGTTTGCAGTATCCTATAGCTTCTCTAAAATTCTGCCCCTATAGACCCATGATGTTCTTGAGATTTATTACTAGTGAGATCACCTAGTAGCCATATCATTTCATCTTTTCAGTATTTAGTTCCCCTTGGATGGTACCTGGAATGAGCACATTTGATATTAAATTCTTTAAATAAAATCAAATGAGATCAACGTGCCACTAAATACTTTCATCATATATTGTGCTTTAAGATATATCTTTCCTTTGTAACAACTCAGTACATATTAGATATGAACCATTGTATCTAATTATTTCTTTAGATTAGTAATCTTTTTCTGCCTATTGCTAGGCCTCCTATAATTCCAAGGTCCAGTACCACCTATTGACCGTGTTTAGAGTTGCTTTATTCAGCCGTACACATTGTGAAGCTGTTCCTTGCTGTAATACGGTGTCATTGTTAATGTCAGCACTTTAAAGTGTTCTTTTTTTGTGTTTATACAGGCATGCCGGAATCACTCTTGTACTGCTCCCTGCACGATCCAGTCAGTCCCTGCCCGGCTGGTTATGTAACAAACAAGGTGTGTTTTCAGAAGGGTCTTCAAGGCTGCAGCTTTGTCCCCAGAAATTCAGCCTATGGTATATCCCTCAGCTGCCCAGATCCCACTGCCTGGGATGATCGCTTATACCTTTTCCTTATTTCGATAATTACAGTGGGATGGGATGGTTTATAAGAGTTAGAATAGGGCTGTCTAAGGATGAGGTTAAGATGAGGAAAACCATATCCTCAGCGTTTTCATTGTTGCAAAAAAATTTGAGGGTAGAGGAGGGTCAAATACGTGCCAAAAAAAGAAATTGCTATGGTAGGGGAAAACAATAGTCTTTTGCTGCTGTGCTTTGTTTGAGTTTTAACAACTTCAGGAAGAGCGGGGGAAGCTGCTGATGAGTATTATCACATGTATAACTATATATAGTAGAACCTCAATGTAATACTCTCTGCTGGGTCTACAGCCAGAGGTTTTTGTCTAGCGAAGAACAATATCCAAAGCACCTCATTAAAAGTGTTTACTTGAGAGGTGGCCCCACTGGCATTATCCCTGAGGACAGCGTTCTGGCAAGGCTTCACTGTGTACTGCTGCTTTACAAACGCAATTACTTTTCCTGCACTCACTTTACTAATGTCAGCAATATTTATGAGTTGTGCCCCTAAGAACACTATTTTTACTCATTCTCCTGTTTTTGGCTTCTGTTTATTTTGTAGTATGAATTCTGGAGAAAATACTTGGACTGGGTGTGGTGACTCACACCTGTAATCCCAGCACTTTGGTAGGCCAAGGTGGGTGGATGGCTTGAGTTTAGGAGTTTGAGACAAGCCAGTCCAACATGGTAAAACCCCATCTACACTAATACAAAAATTAGTTGGGTGTGGTGGCACAGGCCTGTAATCCCAGCTACTTGGGAGGCTGAGGCAAGAGAATCACTTGAACCCGGGAGGCAGAGGTGGAAGTGAGCCAAGATCGCACCACTGCACTGCATTCCAGCCTGGGTAACAGAGCAAGGTCTCTGTCTTAAAAAAAAGCAAAAAAAGGAAAAATAAAATACTTTGACTTCCATTATCTACCCAAATTATAAGGGAGAGAAGAATCATTTAAACAGTAGTTCTGCTGCCTTAGTACAAAATAAAAAGACTGTATGTTGGCCCTCCATCTATGTCCTTGTTGATCTTGTCTAAGAAAAGGGATGCTGTAGGGTAACCAACATAGAATTTTTTTCCTTTTTTTTTTTTTTAACTTTCATTTTTGGTTCGGGTTAATGGAAACATTTGTTACATAGGTAAATTTGTGTCATGGGGGTTTGTTGTACTGATTATTTCATCACTGAGGGATTAAGCCTAATATCCAATAGTTTTCTTTTCTCCTCCTCTCCTTCCTCCCACCCTCCACCCCCAAGTAGACCCCAGTGTCTGTGATTCCCTTCTTTATGTCCATGTGTTCTCATTATTAGCTCCCGCTTATAAGTGAGAGCATGTATGGTATTTGATTTTTTGTTCCTGCATTAGTTTGCTAATGACAATGGCCTCCAGTTCCATCTGTGTTCCTGCAAAATACATGACCTCAATATATATATATAATAATTTATATATATGTATAATAATTTATATATATATTCTATATAATGATAATTTTTATGTATCTCAAAAAAATATATAAATATATTTATATATATTTATATATATTTATATATTTTTTTGAGATACAGCCTCATTCTGTTGCCCGGCTAGAGTGCAGCGGTGCGATCTTGGCTCACTGCAACCTCTGACTCCCTGGTTCAAACGATTCTCCTGCCTCAGCCTCCCGAGTAGCTGGAACTACAGGCATGCACCACCATGCCCGGCTAATTTTTGTATTTTTAGTAGAGGTGGGGTTTCACCATGGTGGCCAGGATGGTCTCGATCTCCTGATGTCATGATCCGCCTGCTGTGGCCTCCTAAAGTGCTGGGATTACAATGAGGCCCGGTGACCTCATTCTTTTTTATGGCTGCATAGTATCCTGTGGTATATGTACCGCATTTTCTTTATCTAATCTATCATTGATGGACATTTAGGTTGATTTCATGTTTTGCTATTGCGAATAGTGCTGCAGTGAACAATTGTGTGCATGTATCTTTGTGGTGGAATGATTTATATTGCTCTGGGTATATGCCCAATAATGGGATTGCTGGGCCAAAGGGTAGTTTTTTTTTTTTTTTTTCAACAAGTTACCTGGAATGTCTTAATAGGTAGTTTTGTTTTTAGCTCAAAGATAGAGTGTTACTAATATCTATATTCTTGTGAACTAGGCGATTTAAGTCTTTAATTCTGTATCTAATTCAGTCTAGTAAACACTAGATATTAAAAGTGTATAGGGCCCTAGACTGTGCTTTTGGGATACAAGCATGAATTGGGATACTCTAGTCAGACAAATATAGAATGGTGTAATAAATGCTATCATTTCTATAAAAGAAATAAGTACAAATTACTGCAAGAGCATGGAGGAGTGATCAGTTTGGAAGTTTGGAGATCAGATTAAATATGTGAACTCAGTGTCTCAATGGACACATAGTATTTTGCAAGGCAAAGAAGTAGAAGTTCTAACATCTAGAAATAATAAATACTTGAGGTGATGGATACTCAAATACCCTGACATGATTATTACATGTGCTATATATGTAAGAAGTCTCATCTGTGCCCCATAAAAGTGTACAAATATACATCAATAAAAGTTTAAAAAAAAGAAGAAATAGGGGTTTGTTAGTCAAAAGGAGCAGTATGATCAAGAGCAGAGATTCAAAGTCTGTGGTGTATTCAGGAACAGCAAGGGTTGGGTAGGGGTGGGGCAGGTTAGGGGAGAATGGAAGATGGCTAGAAAAGAGAACAAAGAATTATTGGGGGCTACCTCAAAAGTTATCTTATATGACCACGGAAGGATTCTCTGTAAGCTGTAAGATCCTATTACCCACCATGTCTGGATATTGAATTGTCGCCATCTCTGCAGTTGTAAGGAATTACTGCTTTATAGTTTTAATTATTTTATTTTTATTTGCACTGTCCTCCCGCTAATTCCTCATCATTTTGCTCCATGGCAGACTGTGTCTGTGTGGGGTGTTTCAGGACGAGTGGAAATGACTGTTTCCAAGTTCATGGCAATTCAGCAGGCCCTTCAGCCAGACTGGTTCCAGTGCCTCTCTGATGGAGAAGTATCTTGTAAGGAAGCAACTTCCATAAAAAGGGCCAGAAAGTCTGTTGATCGATCACTTCTCTTCTTGGATAACTGTTTGCGGCTACAGGAGGAGTCAGAGGTAAGGCTGTACCACTAACCACTCCTTTCTCTTGACACTCCTGCCTCCCTTACATTCTGTGACACCACCTTTTCTGTTCTTCCTCCTGCTGAGTCTGCTTTTTTGTCTACTTTTACTCTCTCTTTTTATTTTCTTTCTGAACCCTAAATATTATCATTCTCTGGGATTCTATCTTGGGTTTCCCTTTTCGTTCCATTCTATATGTTGTCCCTGGGAAGCCTTCCCTTAGTTTTAATTGCTGAATAATTCTAAAATTGTATATACTGTCAAGAACATTCTACTTAGCTTTACAACTATGGGCTATAGGTAGGTTATGCCACTAGAATATCCCTCAACCTCAAAAGTGAATGGACTCATCATCTTACCTCCACAAGCCTATTCCATTTTTTCTTCCTCAATACTTTATCTCCATTTATGGCATCCACCAAGTTACTCACCCAAAAATTTGACCTTTTCTTTTTCTTTATTGAGTCTCACTCTGTTGCCCAGGCTGGAGTGCAGTGGTGGGATCTTGGCTCACTGCAACCTCCGCCTCCCAGATTCAAGGGATTCTCCGGCCTCAGCCTCCTGTGTAGCTGGGTGTTTTTAGTAGAGATTGGGTTTCACCATGTTGGCCAAGCTGGTCTTGAACTTGGCCACCTGCCAAGTGTGATCCACCTGCCTCAGCCTCCCAAAGTGCTGACATTATAGGTGTGAGCCACTGCATCTGGCCAGAAATTTGAGCTTTTCAAGACTCCTTTTCTTCACTCATATTTAATATCCAACTGTTCGCTCTTTCTTAATCCCATTTGCCTAAATATGTCTAGAATCTCCCCCTCCTTAGGACCACCTTAAGCTATAACTGCATCATCTCTTATGTATATAATTACCTTTGAGTTCTTCTCTCTGCCTCCATTCTCATTTTAAAAACACAAACATAAGCTCCTTGCCTGCTTCCCTAAAAGAATTTAATGACCCTCCACTTCAACACTTACATGGCATGGACAGCCTGCTATGATGTGGCCTCCGCCTGCTCCTCCAGCTCATGTGGGCTACTTTCTCCTGTGACTTGCACTCTGGCCTTTCTGAGTTGCTTGGAATTCCTTGAGGCATTAGCCTGTTTGATTCTGTACACAGATTTCCTTCTGGACTGTTTCTGCTTTTCTGTTCTCTAGCCATATTCCCTCTTTTGCTTCCACATCAGGCTCATTTCATTCCATGTATCATTCTTTTTTTTTTTTTTTTTTTGAAACAGAGTCTCACTCCATTGCCCAGGCTGGAATGCAGTGGGACAATCTTGGTTCACTGAAACCTCTGGGTTCAAGTGATTCTCCTGCCTTAGCCTCTCAAGTAGCTGGGATTACAGGCATGCATCACCATGCCCGGCTAATTTTTGTATTTTTAGTTGAGACGGGTTTCACCATGTTGGTCAGGTTGGTCGTGAACTCCCAACCTCAAGTGATCCACCTACTTTGGTCTCCCAAAGTGCCATGTATCATTCAATACAACTGGTTCCTGATACTTCCAGGGAATTCAATTCATTCTTTGCTGCCCCTTTAATCAGTATGTAGCTATATTTTAGCCCCAATCATATTGTATTGCAATGATTTCTTTATGTGTTTGTCTTTATTAAACTGTGGCCTCTTTAAGCTCAATTTCTGTGTATAATTTGTGTATCTTCATCATGCAGCAGAGTGCCTGACAGGTAGTAAGGCCTCAGTAAATGTTTGCTGATGATGAATAGTTATGATGGGGTGAGGAAGATGAAGCTGTAGTGGTAAATCAGGGATACTGACATCAGAGTTAATTAAGTTGGAAAAGAATTTACAGAATAGCAGAGGTGAGGGAACAGAAGATAGTGATCAGAGGAGAGAATTTTAATATCTGAGATTATGTATGTAGAGTAATCCCTAATGATGATCACATCCCACTGTAGCAAAGCACATTGAGTTTGAGGAACATCATTATATGAATTTAGCAATAAACATATAATTTGGCTAATAACATTAATATAAATGAAATAATTAGAGGAAACGTAGTTGTTCTGATGAGAATTTACAGTATCTGTAACAGGAGTTTGGTGTGGGGACATTGCTGTGGGTCTGGGCAGTTAGTGTTGGTGGCTTGCTAATAATTGTTTTGAGCCAGTCATTATCCTGTAGGACTAGTAATGTTTGGGTAGGCAGAAAGCAGGACAGGGAGTGTGACAAAGATGATTACTAGAAAGGCCAGATGAGCCTCAAGTTCCTCATCTATGTTGCAATCAGCCTTATTATTTCATATTACTTCTGCGTGTGTGTGTGTGTGTGTGTGTGTGTGTGTGTGTGTGTGTGTGTTTGAGATGGTGTTTTGCCTTTGTTGCCCAAGCTAAAGTGCAGTGGTGCAATCTCAGCTCATTGCAACCTCTGCGTCCTGGGTTCAGGTGATTCTCTTGCCTCAACTTCCTCAGTAGCTAGGAATACAGACACGTGCCACCACAGTTGGCTAATTTTTGTGTTTTTAGTAGAATTGGGGTTTCACTGTGTTGGCCAGGCCAGTCTCAAACTCCTGACCTTGTGATTTGCCTGCCTCACCCTCCCAAAGTGCTGGGATTACAGGCCTGAGCCACTTCACTTAGCCTTACTTCTGCATATTTGTTGGTTAAATGCTGCAGTCTGTCTCCATATCCCTTATTATTATCTTGATTTGATTATTAATACTGCCCCCCCTTATTCTCAAGTGTTCCATTTTAGATAATAAATTACATCCTTGTGCTTCTTACGCTCATGAAAGAGAGTTTCCCAAATAATCATGCTAGTCATGTTAAGCAGGCAGGCCTATGTAACTGTCTGCTTTGTATATCTGCATACCTCTTTTTCCTTTTCCCGTGACTCCTTGCTTGTCTTATTCACTGGCTCCTCTTATTCTGAATGCCCTTCAGTATTGAAGCTCTGCAAGATTCTCTTTTTGGCTTTCTTTTCTTCTCCATATATTCCCTGGGTTAGGAATGGCGAATGGGATTCTTCCGAGGTGGTCGGGTCCAGCAGGAATAGAGTCATCTGTTAGTCACATCTACTGTGGAATCAGGAGTGGAGAGTGGTAGCATCATGCCGAGTGTCTGCCATTCTAGCATGGGCAGTCTTGTTTGCATCACACGTAGCCATACCTTTAGGTTCATTTAGGTTCAGTGATTACGATTGCCGTTTGTACCTCCTGCTGATTCCTCAAACTCAGAACACACAAAACAGGGTAATCATCTCGCCTCATCCACTATTTTTCTAGGAGTCCCTGTTTTTTGCTCTTATCACCATCTCCCTGGACTTGCAAAACAGGAGCCAGGAGTCATTTGAGACTTTGTCTTTATCCTCTCCTTGGACAACTAGTCCAAATTATGTTGATCTTACTTCCTGATGAGGTTTCAAGTTTTATCCTTCCTCTTCATCCACATTGCCACTGCATCACTAGCCCAGGTCAGCTCATCTTTCACCTAGATTATTAAAGTCGTCTGCTATTCCATTCTTTAATCATACTCACCCTTAATTTATTCTTCACACGATAGCCAAAGCGTTCTTTCTAGAGGAGTAGTCTGATGATGTCCGTCCTGCTTGAACTGAAGAGTGAAATTCCCTTTTCACAGTGTTCCAGGCCTCCTCTCCATCCCTTTCTTCTTCTGGAGAGCCATTGTTGATTTGTATATTTTCTTGCAAAACTTATTTTTTGCAATTACATACACATAACTAATACATAGATAGACATTGCTGTATTGCATGAGTATCATCATATATTCAGCAATTTGCTTGTTTTTCATTTAACAATATCCTGAAACTTTCTCTGTCAATGCATATATGACTGTATCTACTGCATTCTTTTTAAACAGCTGCGTAGGGAGCCATACTGTGTATATATCATGATTTATATAAGCCTTTAGTCTATGGATAAATATTTAGATTTTTTTTTTCAGTTTTTCATTATTCTGAACATCTTTGTAAATAAACCTTGGTGCATGTGAACGAATGTATTTATAGGAGAGATTGTTAGAAGTAGAATTTTAGGATCCATAAATAAAAGCATGGACATTTCAATAAGTGCTGTCCACTTTCCTTCCTAAGAAGTTGAACTGATTTTTACTCTGTTTGTCAGGGTATATAAGTACTATTTCCCTTACAGTTTGTCCTCCGCTATGTTGTTATCTGTGTATTAACCTTTTTGTTATTATATGGGCAAAAATGGTATCTTGTTGTTTCCAATTTTGCATTACCTTACTCATGAGGTTTAGTAGTTCTTATGTGTATAAGGCAGTCACATTTATTTTTCTGAATTTCATATTTACCTATTGTACTTAGATTTCTATGAGGTTGTCATTCATTTCTTTAGAGGATTTGTTGGAGCTCATCTTATGCTGTAGATATAACTATTCATCCAAAGAGTACGTTCTCCTTTGTTTTCGTTGATGGTATATTTTACTAGAGAAGTTTTATTGGTTTTTTTTGAATGGGGGGTTGTTTCTTTGTTTGTTTGTTTTTGAGACAGAACCTTGCCCTGTCATCCAGGCTGGAGTGCAATGGCGCAGTCTCAGCTCAGTGCAACCTTCTCCTCCTGGGTTCCTGGGCTCAAGCGATTCTCCCCCGTCAGCCTCCCGAGTAGCTGGGACTACAGGCACATGCCACCACACCCAGCTAATTTTCGTATTTTTAGTAGAGTTGGGGTTTCTCCATGTTGGCCAAGCTTGTCTTGACCTCCTGACTACAAGTCATCCACCCTCCTCAGCCTCCCAAAGTGTTAGGATTGCAGATGTGAGCCAGCATGCCTGGCAAGTTTTTGTACTCAAACTTGTCAACCTTTTCCTGTAAGCTTTACCTTGTTTAAGAAGGCCTTTCTTACCCCAAGATTGTAGAAATATTCAATATATTCTTCTGAAACTCATATAACTATATTTTTTATGTTTAGATATTAGGTCCATTGAATTTGTTTTTGAGGTTGGTATGTGGTTGTGGTCTTTATTTTATTGGTTTGTGAGTAGACAGTTGTCTCCGTTTCTGTGTTCCTAAAGTTATCTCTAGCTAAGAGACTTAGAGGTAGTCTAAAGCAGGCCTGGGTAGTCATCACAATTTAAAACTCTTCCTTTGTCCTTTTCCTCTTGTACCTGCTTAGTGTACATGTTATTTATTTATTTAATATTTTTCTTGAAACAGGGTCTCTGTTAACCCAGATAGAGTGCAGTGGCACAGTTTAAGCTTACTGCAACCTTCCCCTCCCAGGCTTAAGCCCCCTCCCACCTCAGCCTCCCAGATAGAGTGCAGTGGCACAGTTTAAGCTTACTGCAACCTTCCCCTCCCAGGCTTAAGCCCCCTCCCACCTCAGCCTCCCAGATAGAGTGCAGTGGCACAGTTTAAGCTTACTGCAACCTTCCCCTCCCAGGCTTAAGCCCCCTCCCACCTCAGCCTCCCAGATAGAGTGCAGTGGCACAGTTTAAGCTTACTGCAACCTTCCCCTCCCAGGCTTAAGCCCCCTCCCACCTCAGCCTCCCAGATAGAGTGCAGTGGCACAGTTTAAGCTTACTGCAACCTTCCCCTCCCAGGCTTAAGCCCCCTCCCACCTCAGCCTCCCAGATAGAGTGCAGTGGCACAGTTTAAGCTTACTGCAACCTTCCCCTCCCAGGCTTAAGCCCCCTCCCACCTCAGCCTCCCAAATAGCTGGGACTATAGGCACAAGCCACCGTGCCCAGCCAATTTTGTTTTTGTTTTTGTTTTATTTATTTTTAAGACAGAGTTTCACTCTTGTTTTCTAGGCTGGAGTGCAATGGTGCGATCTTGGCTCACTGCAACCTCCGCCTCCCGGGTTCAAGTGATTCTCTTGCCTCAGCCTCCCAAGTGGCTGGGATTACCACACTTGGCTAATTTTGTATTTTTAGTAGAGATGGGGTTTCTTCATGTTGGTCAGGCTGGTCTTGAACTCCCAACCTCAAGTGATACACCCACCTCAGCCTCCCAAAGTACTGGGATTACAGGCATGAGTCACTGCACCGGGCTGGTTTTTTTTTTGTAGAGATAAGGTCTCACTATGTTGCCCAGGCTGGTCTTGAAATTCTGGGCTCAAGCATTCTCCTGCCTTGGCCTCCCAAAGTGCTGGGATTATAGGCCTGAGCCACTGCACCTGATTTAATTTAATCTAAGCCAGAACAAGACTACATATGTTGAATGCCTCTTTTTCCTCAGTCTTTTCTTACTTGATTGGTAAAGTATGTTTTTCAAAGTATGTTCCTCGGAGCCCTAAAGGTTCTTGGGGAAGAGGGAGCACCATCCCCCTTAATGCTTCAGCTGCAGCAGCTTCACTGAGGCTTCTTCTCTATATTGGACTTCCATGAAAGGTTCATTTAAGCAAAGGTCTCTGTTACTAAAAATGGTTAAAAGCATGTCATCCTTTCTTACCTCAGGTCCTTCAGAAGAGTGTGATCATTGGCGTGATTGAAGGTGGAGATGTGATGGAAGAGAGGCTGAGGTCAGCACGAGAGACAGCCAAGCGGCCCGTAGGTGGCTTCCTTCTGGATGGTTTTCAAGGAAATCCAACAACCCTGGAGACTAGACTACGCTTGCTGTCATCAGTCACTGCGGAGCTGCCGGAGGACAAACCAAGGCTAGTGTTCAGTTAGGACACAGGCCGGCCTCATGGGATGCAGGGCAGGAGTGCTGGCGTATTGTATATTACATAGTGTCTGTGCATGCCCTTGATGTTTTGATTATGTCCTTTCTGCACTGAGTCTGCCAAGGCACCGAGGCTCAGGAGTTTCCATCAAGGCTGTCCTGGCCTTGATTTCAGAACGCAGAGTAGAGCATAATTGCCATGTGAATTATGTTATTTGATCCTCGTGAGAACAAGTATTATACTGTTTCCCCTCATTCTTGTGCCAATCACAAATATTGTTGTCTCTTCATTATAACGTGGTACTAGAGACCAAGTATAAAGTCATATGGAACTCTGGTTTAAATTGAGGAAAGTTGAGGACGGATCATGGATGACTAGTGGGATAAAGATGAGCTTCACCAACAAGAACTTAAGAAGCTCTTAGATTTGAGGCCGGTAGTGAGTGGTGTCAGCTTTTGAAATTGAGGGGACTGACAACAGTAGTAGGATTGGTTCTTAGATTTCCATAAACTGCAGGATTCACCTAGTGCTGGTAAAGAAAAGACGATCTGCAAAATTCAATGCTACAAATTCTGAGTTTCGGAATGCAGTTGATGTTGTATTAGGCTACCTATATTTTTTGATGGCTTTTTTTTTTCTGAGATGGAGTCTCCCTCTATTGTCCAGGCTGGAGTACAGTGGCGCAATCTCAGCTCACTGCAATCTTTGCCTCCTGGGTTCAAGTGATTCTCCTGCCTCAGCCTCCCTAGTAGCTGGGACTACACATCCGGCTTGTTTTTTTGTATTTTTAGTAGAGACAGGGTTTCACCATATTGGCCAGGCTGGTCTCGAACTCCTGACCTCATGATCCAGCCACCTCGGCCTCCTGAAGTGCTGGGATTACAGGCATGAACCACCACGCCCAGCCATTTTTTAATGTTTTTTTAATCTTACTTAATGCAAATATTCATTCCTTTTTCTTGCACGTATATTAAGAAGTTTGGTTGTGGGTGCTGCTTTACACTCCTCTAGAGCTGTTGGATAGTATATAATATACGTAATTTTGCTACTTTTTTAAAGATCCAGGTACAACTTAGAGGAAAGCATATGAATCTTACGTACAGCTCAATTAATTTTCACTTGTCTACACTTGTGTAAACACCACCCCAAACAAGGTATTTTCATCACCCCAGGCAGCCTTTGCCTCCCAATTTTAACCTAGTTCTTTTGTGTTCATTGCTTGCTTTCCTATACTTGTTTCACTCTGGTGCACAGAACACGTCAGCACTAGTGATTCTAGCCATTTTATGGACGTGTGCATGTTAAGTGCTCACAGATGTCTGTTACTGAATTTGAAAGCTGAGATAGTTTTTCTTTCTATAAGTGTGTAAAAATGCCAGCTTCAGTTGGATAGGAGTTCTGAAACATTACTTTACTTGAAAGAAACTGTAGTCAGGAAAACCCGCATATAGTTAAGAGTTGTGATCATTATGAAGGAAGAAATGAAATTTGTGCCCAGGGTTGTAAATTATTTCTGAGCACATGGTGAAATTATTGAGCAAAAACTTGAAAGGTTTTGGGTATTTTATAAATAACATTCCTCTGTATGTCTTGTATCATCTCAGACTAGTGAACAATGTAGAGTGTAACACGAAGTACATACAATAAAAGTAAAAATGTTTGTGGTCCTCAAAAAAAAAAAAAAGAGTTCTGCTTCTTTAATATTACATGAGCCTTTTTATTTTATTTTATTTTTTTTTGCTTTTCTGTGCCAGTTCATAGCAAGGGGCTATAGGTAGAAAAACAAACATAAAAAAGAGCAGCAGCCAGCCAGCCCTGATCTAGTGCATCTGCACATCTGTTTTCATGGAGTGGCAAAACCTGGCTGAGTGCCATTAATGTTCTCAGAATGTCTTACCTATTACAGGTTGAGTATTCTTTATCCAAAATACTAGGGACCAGAAATCCTTGAAATTTTGGATTTTTTCAGATCTTGGAATATTTGCAGGGTACATGGGCATCCCTAATTTGAAAGTCCAAAATCCAAAATTCTCCAGTGAGCATTTCCTTTCAGTGTCATGTCGGTGCTCAAAAAGTTTCAGATTTTGGAGCATTTTGGATTTCAGATTTTCAGATTAAGGATGCTCAACATGTACCTTCAAAAACACCATCTCCTTCCACAGTGCAGACATTTTATTAGTGGAGAAAATAGAAAGAAAGCCAACAAGATTCTTAGATCCTATGGCAAGAGGTGAAATCCTGACAGCAAGAGTTGCTTTGTTAATTAACTTATAAAGGATATAGTAGATTAAAATGTCTTTATTGTACCAATTATGAAAAGTTATTATACGTAAAATACAGTTAAAACAAGCAAAATATTTCAGCAGAAATAAAGCACACAGCTTTGCACTCCTAAAAAATCTATATAGTGTATAGAAGATAGACTATAAAGTTTAGTTTATGACCAGGGAGGTTGTTCAGAAAGGATAAGGGTTGAAAGGAAACTAACCTTTATTGAGTTTCTCTCTGAGATCAGAAACTATACTATGGGCTGGGCATGGTGACTCTTGCCCATAATCCCGGCACTTTGGGAGGCCAAGGCAGGCAGATCACCTGAGGTCAGGAGTTCAAGACCAGCCTTGCCAACATGATGAAACCCTGTCTTTACTAAAAATACGAAAATTAGTTGGGCTTGGTGGCAGGTGCCTGTAATCCCCGCTACTAGGGAGGCTGAGGCAGGAGAATTGCTTAATTGCTTGAGTCCAGGAGGTGAAGGTTGCAGTGAGCCGAAATTAAATCATTACATTCCAGCCTGGACAATAAGAGTGAAACTCCCTCTCAAAAAAAAAAAAGAAAAAGAAATATATTATGTGCTTTTTAAAATAAATATCTCATTAATCCTCGCAATAATTCTGTGGGGGTATATATTATTGCTCTTGTTTTTAAGATAGAAAACTAAAACTCAGAGAAGTTAAGTAATCTTTCCGAAGTGACAGAGCTAGGGTGCAGGCCCCAGTCTCTCTGACTCCAAAGCCCTATGTTCTTTGTATTACACCTTGCCATCCACTGCCTGACACTCTAACCATGATTGGTGTTTTTCATTATTTTTTTTAAGTGCCTTGTTCATTAAAAGGACTTTCAATTATAAAGACACATGCACACGTATGTTTATTGAGGCACTGTTTACAATAGCAAAGACTTGGAACCAACCCCAGTGCCCATCAATGATAGACTGGATAAAGAAAATGCAGCACATATATACCATGAAATACTCTGTAGCCATAAAAAAGGATGAGTTCATGTCCTTTGCAGGGACATGGATGAAGCTGGAAACCATCATTCTCAGCAAATTGACACAAGAACAGAAAACCAAACACCACATGTTCTCACTCATAAGTGGGTGTTGAACAATGAGAACACATGGACACAGGGAGGGAAACATCACACACTGGGGCCTGTCAGGGAGTGGGGGGTTAGGGAAGGAGTAGCAGGGGGTGGGGGGATTGGGGAGGGCTAACATTAGGATAAATACCTAATGTAGATGACGGGGATGTATGCAGCAAACCACTATGGCACATGTATATCTATGTAACAAACCTACACATTCTGCACATGGACCCCAGAACTTACAGTATAATTTTTTTAAAAAGAAAAGGACTTTCTGATTTCCTTCCTTGCATTATCCTCATGTCACTCCTCTTATTGTTACTCTTACAGGCTCATATCTGGTATTAGTCGACCAGATGAGGTGCTCGAGTGTATTGAAAGAGGAGTAGACTTATTTGAGAGTTTTTTCCCTTATCAAGTAACAGAGCGGGGATGTGCCCTAACTTTCAACTTTGATTACCAGCCGAATCCTGAAGAGACACGTAAGTCTTTTGAAACTAATTTCTTATCCTTAAATTTCTTGCATTTCCTATTAATTTTTGGCTTGAGTCACAAGACAGAAATATGTGTATATAAAGCCAGTCTTTTACAAAACTTCACCTTTGTTTCTTATATGTGTGCTCTGGCATGTTGGCACACAAAGGCAGGTACTTAATACTATACATATGGCTCATCAATATTAGGATGTGATTTTATAGTGAACAGAACGAAGAAAAACAAAACCTCCTCTGTTAACAGCCTGAAAAAAGAACATTCAGAGTGAATTGTGATGAAAATCATAAGAAAACCTTTGAACTGCTTGGTAAAAGTTAATTTGTTTTCTCACAAAAGAGTTTTTGTCTTTTCTTTGTAAGCCCAATGCTATTAACACGCAGGGAGACTCATGACCCTCTGATCCTAGTGTTAGTTCTTGCATTTTGGTTTTTTGTTTGTTTGTTTTTTTAATACACCCAACTTTGACAGCTGTTTTCCTCTGCTAATGTTGCTTTGAAGGACTGCCATTTGATTTTATTGTGTAGTTATTTAGAAGTCAAGAAAGTCAGTTTCAGAGTCTAACACTTAACTGGTGGTAGAAAAGGAGCTGGGATACAGACTTTGGGCTGGAGTTGCTTGAAGCAGGTTTTTAGGAGAGTGTCAACTGCCCACTCTTCCCTCTGGCCTTTAGAAATGGCCTTTCCTTTTCCTTTCAGTGCTGTCCTTGGAATTCTTCCTTAACCACATCAACCTTAAATTTGAATAGGACCAGAAACTTCCTTAAGGGTTCATTTTATTCCTCACAGGTAACTAAAATTTTATTCAGATTGTTGTACTTTTAGAAAGTAACTTAACCATTACTCTAAATGGAATTACCCCTGGAAACAAAATAAATAAAGTTGATCAAATTCTTAAATATATAGGAGGTCAATTTTACTGTCCTTTTAGACAGACTAAAACATAATGTATATGGATAGGTATACCATTAACACTATAAATTTTGATGTCTTCATTTATAAACTGAATTATTTCCACCAGAACAGAGGTAACTGTTAGTCATTCAGTACCAGGAATATACAAAGCTCTAAAAAGAACCTGATTTGAGTTCTCTGTAATGAACAAGGACATTTTTGGCCAGAGAAAGCCAAATTTCTTCATGATTAGGAAAAAGGAAATTGTGTGAACATTTAAACAAAGTATTAGTGTGTGTGTGTGTGTGTGCATGCACGCGTGGGTGCGTGTGTGTGTGTGTAGTAAATTAAAGTCCTTTGCCAGTTATGTCATGAGAAATCCAGAGAAATTATTTGGCAGCAATTCTTCCAAATGACAAGAGTTTTCAAAAATGTCAGGGTTTAAATTTTTTTTTTTTTTTCCCAGAAATAGGATCTCGCTCTGTTGCCCAGGCTGGAGTGCAGTGGTGTGATCATGGCCCACTGCAGCCTTGAACTCCAGATAAAAGAACATTCAGAGTGAAATGTGGTGAAAATCATAAGAAAACCTTTGAACTGCTTGGTAAAAGTTAATTTGTTTAACTTTAATGGGCACAAGCAATCCTTCTACCTTAGCCTCCTGAGTAGCTGGGACTACAGGTGCATGCCACCATGCTCAGCTAATTTTTAAATTTTTTGTAGAGACGGCATCTTGCTGTGTTGTTCAGGCTGGTCTTGCACTCCTGACCTCAGGTGATCCTTCTGCCTTAACCTCCCAAAGTTTTGCTGGGGTTACAGGAATGAGCCACTGCAGCCAGCTGAGGGCTTTATTATGGTTTCCCACATCAGCATGCAAATGTATGGGAACAAAATTATAACAGCTCTGTGCCCGGTGCTCAGGTCGCTTCTCTTACTCCTTTGCCCTTGATAAAATTACCCTCCTAAGACCACCTGTCCTTCTTCTAGGACCAACACTGAGATTTGTTATCATTTGTTCCCAAAATACCCCTTAACTACTTATCCCTGTTCCAGGCAGTTGTCTTTTTTTAGAGTAGCTGGTGTTTATTTTGCAGTACAAGGAATGTTTCTTCTTAAAGCAGAGAGTTGAAGGGAATAATTCAGGTTGCCATATAATTCTGGATAATCTGGGTTCCCCAGAGGGCCAGAGGCTCTATATAGAATACAGACATTAAAACTATGTTCTGCTTCAATCTATTTGGAATATAGGTAGTTCAAAGCTCAGTTTCTTTGCATGTACATTGTAATATGGGATAATGATAACCCCACCATACACACACACACACACACACACACACACACACACAAACAACGGTTAACTTTTGTTGGTTTATTTATTTGTTTATTGTTAAATAGAGATGGGGTCTTGCTGTGTTGCCCAGGCTGGTCTTGAACTTCTGGCCTCAAATGATCCTCCCACCTCGGCCTCCCAAAGTGTTGGGATTACAGGCATGAGCCACCATGCCTGACCACCAACTGTTTTTTGTTTGTTTTTTTTTTTGAGACGGAGTTTCACTCTTGTTACCCTGGCTGGAGTGCAATGGTGCGATCTCAGCTCACCGCAACCTCCGCCTCCTGGGTTCAGGCAATTCTCCTGCCTCAACCTCCTGAGTAGCTGGGATTACAGGCACGTGCCACCATGCCCAGCTATTTTTTTATATTTTTAGTAGAGACAGGGTTTCACCATAACGAGGATGGTCTCGATCTCTCGACCTCGTGATCCACCCGCCTCGGCCTCCCAAAGTGCTGGGATTACAGGCGTGAGCCACCGCGCCCGGCCCACCAACTGTTTTTTAAATCATTTCTTGATGGTAAGATTGTATGTTATGTACTTGTAACCATAATTTGCTTAGATATTATTAAATCTCTAAATTGTTTTAGTGTTGTAGTTAAGAGGTCAGTGACCATCTTGGAGTATATTGCTGTTTTCCTTTTCTTATGTGACTTCCTTAGGATAAATTCTCAGAAGCAAAATTACAGAGTCAAAGATCATAAAATAATTACAAAAGTAAAATGTTCCCAATGGCCACTTCTTACCTGATCATCATTCAAGGCTTTTTATTGGTTTGTCCTTCAGTATTACAACAAAATGGAACACAAGAAGAAATAAAATGTGTGGATCACATAAAGAAAATTGAAACAACAGGTTGCAACCAAGAAATAACATCATTTGAAATTAATCTGAAGGAAAAAAAGTAAGAAATTTTTAAAAGTTTGGATTTTGCTGACTTCTGAATTTTAGTCTGCTTTAAAAGTTTATGGGACTATTCTCAGTTTATGACTTCATAAAATATTAATAGTTGGGTATTATTTAGACCTTCTCAAATTCAGTTTCAAAAAAACTTTTTTTTTTTTCCTGCAGTTGAATCGGTATACTTTGTCTCATCAGAAGACTAGAGCCAGGTAATAATTGCCTTAGAAAAGCTGACAGAAAGATTAGACCAAATCCGTTGTCTGGTATCTTTTATTCCTTTAGAGCATAATCAGGATTTCAAGATGAAACACAACAAAGTTTTAAATTGTAGAGTACTTAAGCCATCTTTGTTAGATACAGGTTATAAATCTTAAATAAAATATTTATCTCTACGAAGAACAAATTAACGTACAGATTGAATTGAATATCCTTTCTTCAAAATGCTTGGAACCAGAAGTGCTTCAGATTTCTTTTCTTTTTTGTTGTTGTATTTTAGAACATTTACATTATACTTAACCTGGCTGAGCATCCCTCATTCGAAATCTGCAATGCTCCAATGAGCAGTTCCTTTGAGCCTCATGTTAGTGCTCAAACAGTTCTGAATTTGGGAGCATTTCACATTTTAGATTTTCAGATTAGGCATACTGAAGCTATATATTGGAATTTTTGTATTTGGCCAAAAGTGACAACCATCAGTGAACCAGTGAGTGATTTTCCTTTGAGCCTATGCACTCACTTCAGTGCTGGGGTGGGTTTTTTTGTCTTATGTAAAGGGAATTCCTATGGCTTGTGACTTATTTATGTCTATCTAGTGATAGTACAGACTTGAGAGTTTATGAAAGAAGTGAAAATCCTAGTTCTTACCTATATTCTCTTGGGACTCCTTTAATTGTAGCTCAAAAATGGTGATGTCTACCACATTTGACTTCTTAAAAAATAGCCACAGAGATAGATGTGTTTTGTTTTTCTTTTATCCTTTTTCTTCTGTTATCCACTGACTCTCAAATGATGTATGTTTTTTAAATGTTAGATTACTATAAATGGTTACTACTAAAATTCCATTTATGTTATAGATTTAGTTGGAAATTGCACTATTATTATCAGTACCAGGCTATAAGCTTTTGAGGTTTGTAGACACATTCTAGCCCTGCTCTTCACTGGGTGACTTTGGTCTGGTCAATTTACTTTTTCTTTTTTTTTTTTTTTTTGAGACAGTCTCGCTCTGTTTTCCAGGCCAGAGTACAATCGCATGATTTCAGCTCACTGCAGCCTCTGCTTCCTGGTTTTAACCGATTCTCCTGCCTCAACCTCCCAAGTAGCTGGGATTACAGGCACACACCACCATGCCTGGCTTATTTTTCAATTTCTAGTAGAGTCTGGGTTTCACCATATTGGCCAGGCTGGTCTTGAACTCCTGACCTCAATTCACTTATTTTTAATAGTTGTTTAAAGTAACACCTGGCCAGGCATGGTAGCTCACATCTGTAATCCCAGCACTTTGGGAGGCTAAAGATGGAGGATCACTTAAACCCAGGAGTTCAAGACCAGCCTGAACAACATAGCAAGACCCTGTCTCTAATACAGAAAATTATTTGGTCATGGTGGGAGGCGGAGGTGGGAGGTTGCAAGTTAACACCTATGCGGTGCTTAGTATGTGCCCAGCAGTGAGTGTTCAAGCCCTTTTACTATACTAATTCATTTAATCTTTGTAACAGTTGTCAGAGATAGGCACTATTATTACCTTTGGTTCATGGATGAGAAACAAGTCAGAGAGTCATTAAGTGACTTGCCCAAGTGAGTTGTGAAGCCAGAAGCCAGGAATCAAATTCATGCAGGGTAGCTCCAGGGCCCTCCCTGTCAACCCCATAGTAATCCTCATTGGTAGAATGTCAGTAAAAATGGTTATCTCCAGGAATGAATGCGAAGGTTAAATGAGACAGTGTATGTGAAAGTGTTTGGTAGACTGCAAAAAGCTGTGTAAATAGAAGGTCTCCCATGTCTTTTGATAATAATCCTGGTGGTAAGTGGGAAAGAGGTGTCACTCACTTCTCTCCTAAATGTCAAACTTTAAGAAGTGTTTCCTAAACATGTGCCTTTACAATGTGATTAGTAATACTCAAAATGAGTGAGTGACCACATGAATTTCTTCTGATGCTCCTTTGTCACCTCAGACTTACAGTTTGCATCAGTCAGAGAAAAACTCCAGGGTCTCCCTGACTCATTGTGCTCTTGGTTAACTTTTTTTTTTTCTTTTTGAGACAGAGTCTCACTCTGTTGCCCAGGCTAGAATGTAGTGGCATGATCTCGGCTCACCACAACCTCCACCTCCCAAGTTCAAGTGATTCTCCCACCTCAGCCTCCCAAGTAGCTGGGACTACAGGTGCACACCACCATGCCTGGCTAGTTTTTGTATTTTTAGTAGAGACAGACTTTCACTATGTTGGCCAGGCCTGTCTTAAACTCCTGACCTCGTGATCTGCTCGCTTCAGCCTCCCAAAGTGCTGGTATTACAGGCATGAGCCACCGTACCTAGCTCTTTGTTAACTTTTAACCATATTGCCATTTTAAGCAAGTGCACAGCACTGAACATTTGCCAGTGATGTTATTAACCACTGCTAACCACCAGTAGAATGGATGGCTGAGGTTGTGGATTTCATGTATTCCATACTTTCTGGAATGTCACTGTGACTTCTTTCTTAGGTACCAGGAGGACTTTAACCCACTGGTGAGAGGATGCTCCTGTTACTGCTGTGAGAATCACACTCGGGCGTACATCCACCATCTGCTGGTAACCAATGAGCTGCTGGCCGGAGTCCTGCTTATGATGCACAACTTTGAACACTACTTTGGATTTTTCCATTCCATCCGGGAAGCACTAAAAAGTGACAAACTGGCACAGCTGAAAGAGCTCATCCACAGGCAAGCATCTTGAGATCTTGCAAATACGAGTCTCACTCTTCACACTGAGCCTGTACCACTGTTGTAACATGGGAAGACATGAAGAAGAAATAATCTGAACTTTATTTATATTCAGACATAGGGTCTCCTAAAATAAAGAATATTTGTACCAAACTGCCCACATAAGGGTGAGGAGATTTATTCTAAAGACTTAAATGAAGACCAGATGCGGTGGCTCACACCTGCAATCCCAGCACTTTGGGAGGCCAAGGCAGGTGGATCACCTGCAGTCAGGAGTTCGAAACCAGCCTGGGCAACATGGAGAAACCCTCTCTCTACTAAAAATACAAAATTAGCCGGGCATGGTGGTACATGCTGTAATCCCAGCTACTTGGGAGGCCGAGGCAGGAGAATCACTTGAACCCAGGAGGCGGTGGTACCCTGAGCAGAGATCGTGCCATTGCACTCCAGGCTTGGTGACAAGAGCAAAACTCCATCTCAAAAAAAACAAACCAAAAAAAAAACCAAAGATGTAAATGACCTGGATTGATCAGAGAGAATTGAAATGTGACTTTTAAAAATTCTAGACTAATTCTTTTAGTTGATAGAGATTCATTTAGTCAAAGACAAAAGCTTTAGCTGTGAGGACACAACCTTGAAGTGGGAATGATGAGATTCCGAGGGACCAATGAATTGGATTGAGGCTTCAGGGGAAATGACTGTGAGATGCATGACCTCTGGACATAAACCTGTTGATTTGAGAAGAAATCTGGCTGGTTTGAGGGTTTCTTTTAGTTCTTCCTCATACTCTAAGGAGACTCTTTTGGATACTTTCGTCTTCCACCCTGCCCTGGCAGTGCAGCCAATCAGAAATGGCTCTTGTGACTTAACTGGCTCAGATATCCTGGGAATGTGGGGCTTGAACATTGCTCCTGTGATTATCTGTCCCAGGTCACACTCCTTCATTTGACCACTTGGCCTATTTGCAACTTCTTTTTAGAGCCAATACAATTGCTTATTAGCCAAAAGTTTGCCCAGCTGCTTTCATCTGCTTGTACAGATCCATTGTGGTCTTCCTTCCAGGCTCATCAATAGTCTAACCACATAGTAACTGAAGCCCCATCTCTTGTGAAGATTCATTCTCAATGTGTTCACTTGGACAGAGCCCTGCCTGGCCTAACGATTAGAGGACTAGTTTCCATCCTGCTCAGATCTGACTCCTGGGCAATTCACTTAACTTCTGTATGCCTGTTTCCTGCTGAATAAATAGGGACAGGCATAATAGATAGGAATGAATGAACTTTTAAGATACTGTCTAGCTCTAAAATTTGAAGAACAAAATGTTTTAGATTAGAGTCATAGCCTTAATAGCCATAATTGTCATCCTGGGAGACAGGCAACAGTAGAGATATTTGAGAGCCTAAAGACAGGTTTTGCCTGTGGGTTTTATAATGGTTGTTCTATTGGTATCAGGAGATCCTGAGTCTGGTAGGGGAAGGTGGTTCTTTCTAAGTTACCTCTATATTTTTCAAGTTTTCTATAAGGAATACACATATACCCACATGCATACACCATAGTTTTTAGACAAACAGCAATAACAAAACCAAAAAGATGCCCCTTTTTTTGTAGGGGTAAGAAATGTGCACTTGTTTTATACTCCTATGCTATATTTTGCTCTTTATTCAAAATTTAGTGGGCATTACTTAATGGTGTTTCTAATTATTTTGTGGCTGCTGTATGGGAGCCTATTATATTAGGCTATCCTTGGATTGCCGTAAAGAAACACCTGAGACTGGGTAATTTGTAAAGAAAAGAGGTTTAATTGGCTCACGGCTCTGCAGGCTTTACAGGAAGCATGGTACTGGCATTTGCTTGGTTTCTGGGGAGGCCTCAGGAAGCTTAATCATGGCAGAAGGTGAAGAGGGAGCAGGCACATCACATGACAAAAGCAGGAACAAGATTCAGAGCAAGAACTCACTTAGCACCAAGGGGATGGCCCAAGCCATTCTTAAGGGATCCACCTTCACAGCTCCCAACACCTTCCACTAGGCCCCACCTTCAGCATTGGGGATTACATTACGTCATGAGATTTGGGTGAGGACAAATATATCGAAACTATATTACCCATTTATATGATTTTAATAGTGTGGGAATGTCCACGAATAAATTCTTGGACAGCCTCATAACTTCTCCATGAATGGCAAGGGTTACTTACATAAAACAGTTTTCCAAGGATCTGATTGTTTTGAAACATGTTGGATTGGACCTGTTCATAATGTTCATATTTTTGTGCAATGCTAAATGCATTGTTAGGGGAGTATTGGTAAATATTATAGAATCCATATGAAATTAATGAGTTTATGTCCAAAACACTGAGAACCATGTCCAATATTGTTCAGTTTCCTGGGTCTTTTTCTTATTAGCACATTTGAAAAAAAAAATTCCTTTCCTTTATTGTAGTAAATCTATTAAAGGCAATAACCAATAAAACATTTTTAATTTAAAATTTTTACTGTGTTTGGCTTTCTGTAAATGTAGTGGGTCTATTAAACAAAATATTAAATTTCCTTAGTACCGGAAATGTTCTAGAGATTTCTCATTGGAAGAAAAAAAAAAGTATTTATCTGTATTCATTGTTCTGAGAGCTTCCGTGTTAAATGTGAAATCCAAAAAGGAGATATTCAATTACACATTATGAAGATTCCCTTATCTCTGTATTAGTCTGTTCTTGTGTTTCTATAAAGAAAGATCTGAGGCTGGGTAATTTACAAGGCAAATAGTTTTGTGTGGCTCACAGTTCTACAGGCTGTACAGGAAGCATGGCACCAGCATCTGCTCCCGATAAGGGCCTTAGGAAGCTTACAATTGTGGAAGGCAAAGGGGAAGCCGGTGTATCACATGGTGAGAGAATGGAGAGATCCCAGACTCAAACAATCAGCTCTCATGTGAACTGAGAGAGAACTCGCTCATCACCAAGGGGATGATATTAAGCTATTCATGAAGGATGTACCCAAATACCTCCCACGAGGCCCCACCTTCAACATTGGAGATTACATTTCAACATGAGATTTGGAGGCGACAATCATCCAAGCCATATCACTTATCTCTTTATATAATTACAGGTCTAAAGGCCATGCTAGCACATAATAAAAATAAGAAGAACAATCTGGAGAGCATTTTAAATGTGCTCTTAGCATCTTGGTAAATGCTTTTCGTATAAAACTATTGGCCCTTAGAGCATGGCTGTGAGGTGTTGCTATTGTCCTATGGGCTACATGTACTAGTGCTAGCTATTCCCTACTGGAAAAGCTGAAGCCAACTCGAACTGAGTTTTTAAGAGGGTTGAGTAGCCTGCCTGAGTGTGCGCCAGATATTTCACAAAAGTTAAGTTGTTTGCCTAAGGGCCTACCACTACTCAGCTCCCAGGTAGACTAGCTCCACCTGACTAAAACTCAACAGTTATCCACTGTACTAAATAAATTCTTATTTTGACTTGCTTCTGGGCTGAGAGGGCTGAGAATCAGGGACTGCATAGAAGGGCTCCTGGCCTTGGGTACTGGGTGCTTTAGGAGCTATGCTTGGCCTTGGCTTCAGCTTTTCCAGCAGAGAATAGATAGCACTAGCACATGTAACCCATGGTACCATGCTGGGATTTGTAGGTGCTCAACATGGGTTGCCATTCCATGTCCTCAAATTTATCTCCCCTTCCCGGTTTGGGACTGTAACCACACCCTCAACAGCACCGAAATGTTTGGGTGCTGTGATTAGTTCAAGTGGAGTTAGGTGATCTATTGGAGTCTGAGGTTTCTTACATATTTCAGGGGAGGTATATTTTGTTACTCCTTGGAACAAAAGTAAAGGGAAAATGTTCTTCTAAAACATTTTTTAAACCAAATACTTGTGTAATCGAAGCATTTAAATAAAAATTTCAAACAAAGACCATCAAAGGGTCAAGACTAGAGTGGAAAGCAACTCTCTTCTCTAGGGTGTTTTTTCTGTAGAGGCAGCTTGGAGCTCAGTGAGAAACCACAGAGTTAAATGATTACCCTGTGCCTTCCTGATTAAGATCAGGCTGCGCTCTGCAGTTTGATTAGTCTGGCTTGCAACTATGGGATTACAGCTTATTAAAACTGACAGTGTTGTGTAGGGCAGCGAGCCTGGAAGGTCAAACTTCCCATGCTGAGCCAGCCACCAGCAAAACTCTGCCTTTACCTTAAAGTTTGGTATAATTGGCATTCATTTTAATATCCTTTCTAATCTCTCCACTTTCTTTTCAACCATTGTGTCTCTTACTAATTTTACACCTTTTCTTTCCTTGCTTCCTCATGAGGTTCCCTGATTTGTGAGCACAAAACCCAAATAGCAGTGGGCAAAGAAGAATGAAACAAGCCCAGTGTAAGCGATGTGAATTAGCATAATCATGCACTCATTCCCCCCGAAAATCCTGCTTCATGCCTCTAGTTTAAGTGTAAATATACAGCACCCTGCCCTCCGCCCCACCTTTTATTCTCAAAAGTGCTGGCCGAGTGAGCCATCTCTACCCCTAATGTGAGGGGTAGAGATGATCAATCTAGAGAACAGGTGCCCTCTAAACGAACAGTTGATACCCACCTCCAGCTAATTGCTGCTGTGGCTCCAGTGCTGCCAGATAGTTCAGTCTTTCAGGAAAAGACAAAAATCTGGGTTTTCAGGTGAAATTTCACAATTTTTAAATGCTGGGTTAATTTTTAAACAATATTCTGCTGGTCACACAAAACCTAGGGGTGCCTAGTTTGCAACCTCTGGCTTAAAATCTGGAAGAAGGGCTATGGCATCTTTAGCATTAAAAAATTTCTCAACAACTGATCACAATATACAGAAAACATACCTGTAGTTTCTCGTTCCTGCAGCTGTTTACAGATTCCCACACTAGGAGATCCCATGTTTTCCCATCTCCATTGCAGGAACCCCAGATAACTCCTAGAACCATTCTAAATCTGCCAAAACGGAAGGTATGCAGAATCTTATTCAGCCTATTTTACGGATGAGAAATTTTAAGCCTAGGGAAGAAAGACTAGCCGTTGGCTATGTCTTTCCTCTTGGGAGTGTCTTTGTTCAAGCTGCTGTAACAAAATACTATAGACTGGGTGGCTTAAAACAAAATACATTTATTTTTCACAGTTCTGGAGACTGGAAGATGAGGGAGGCAGCATGGGCAGGTTCTAGTGGGGGCCCTCTCCCTGGTCACAGACTGCTGTTGCATTTTCCTATCTCCACATGGTAGAAAGAAGGGTAGGGAGAGCCTGGGGTCTCTTTTATAAGGGCACGAATCCCACTCACAAGGACTTCACCCTCATGACCTAAATTAGCTTCTGAAGGCCCCACTGAATGCCATCACACTGGGGTTAGGATTTCAACATAAACATTTTGTAGGGACACAAACATTCAGTTCATAACAAGAAATTTAAACATGTCATGATTCTTTCTAGTTAGCATTTTGGCACTCCTAAATCTCCCCCCCCCCGCCGCCCCGATTTTCTGTAAGGTCTGTGCCCTTCTAGGGTCAGCATCGATTTCCCAGTATTCACTTTCCAGTGATTCCTTCTGGCCTCACAGGACCAGCTGATACAGGGCATAAGATAAGGGCTCCTATTGCACCTTCCAACATTAATAGCAATAGTCCTGGATGACACCGTGAAATCTCAATTACTGTTTGTCAAATGAACGAATATTCTCAGAGTAGCAGAGGCATTCTCTTCGTTATTTTAGCCACCTGAGTGCTGGTTAGAAGCGACTTGCACAGCACTATGCGGTAGGACCTCTGTGAATGTCTGTGGTGGTTTTATGTCACCTTATGCTAGGCAAGCTCCCGGTGACCTGACACATTTTGGGGTTTTTGGATTTTTTTCCTGTTACTCGGTACTATTATCATCTTTTAGTGCTGGCCTCAAAGCAATTTCCCTTGCTCTGACGAGAGGAACTCAGAGTGAACTTTCCTTTTGTTCTCATTCCTCACAATCTACTTTGAGACCCGCTCGGAGTTGCCAAGGAGTTCAAACGGCCCCTGCTTCCCAGTGTGATTCAGAGGGATTCGTGCATCCTCTCTGCACACTCTTCCTAATGTTCGCCTCTCTCCCTGAGCTGCTCTCCCCTGCTGTCGGCTCCTTTGTCTGCAAAACACATTTTCTCTTATTATCACCTTGTTCCCTGCCTGCCTCGGATGCTTTCAGCTTGTCTCTTAACATCAAGATGTTGCTATTAACGGTCTTCTCTTTCTTAACAGCTTAGAGTCACTTCCTTTTATTCAGTCCTTCTCCTTTTCCCTCCCAAACCACATAATCATCTCTTTTGGCCTCAAAGAAAAGTTGTATAACCATTTCATAACCACTGCTTTACAGTTGCTATCCAAAAGGCATGAGAAGGAGGACATAAAAGCAAAGGGAGAGAAAACAAAAGGAGAGGAGGTGAGGGATACTCTGATAAATGAGAAACAGGAGGTGCATCTTCAGAATTCTCCTTTGGTGAAGACATTTAGGCAAAATCAGCCTTCGAGACCGACCTTAGCATGCTCAGTGGTCTGGTGAAATTCTCCTCTAACATTTATGGACAGATGGGAATGTGTTCTCCCCTCTGAGGCTCTGTTTTCCTTCCAAATAGTTAAAATATTTTCTTTAAACTCTCCCAGAATCATTTAATTTATTTTGGTCATAAATCCATTCACAGAACCCAATTGCATAACAGATATGAGTTTTCCACACCCCCCAAAGCTAAAATGTTTACTCACATTTTCCATTTTCTACTCACTTATTTTTTGAGTTCAACAAACTTAAATAACATTTCCATCACAATTCTATGTATTGTTCCCCACAATGCTAGCTGAAAATACCAACTGCAAATATACTCTGCTCCCCCATAGTGATTGCACTTCAAAAGACAAGAGAGTCACAAAGTATGTCCAGTTTTTTCTTTCTTACTCTTGATCTGATTTTGATTCGACTCTCCAATTTCACATTTTTTTTTGGAGAAAGTTCAGTCATGTTGAAAAAGTCAGTTTCATTTTATATTTTTTCCACCTGAACGTTCACCTATTACCACAAATCCAACATGTCCAAAACCGAATTTGCTATCTTTCTCCCATCAGACTAATTCTGCACTTCAACTTCCTTGCACCTGTCTTCCAGCCAAATCAGCTGCAAATCTTGCTCCTTGGTTGAGGGATGCAATACATAGAAAGGATGGGTATAAGACATTTCAAGGAGGATCAACAGGACTTGGTGCCTGACTCAAGGAAGATGACCACCCATCCTGCCCCTCACCTCCTTCTTGTCCTCCTCAACTCCACTTTCTCCCTCCTGTACCTTTATCATTCACTGCTACCAAGCTAAGCTTTCATAAATATTATCTTCACTGGTATGCTCCCTTACTAACAACCCTCAATGACTCCCCAGTGCCATCCAGACCAAGGCTAAGGTGGCAGCCTGAATTTCTAGGTCTGCCATCATCTGACCCTAACCAATTGCCGT